CATATACATATACATACATATATATACAAAATAACATACTATTTATATAACATACATATATATAAATATATATTACATCATAGTATACATACATACATATTATATTATACATAATACATTTATATATTACATATACAAATAATTAAATTATGTACCAGATTATATGTTTTGTTTGTTACATATATATATATATTATATATATATATATATATTATTATATATATTATATGTATATTCTTTATCATATATATAACATGCACATGTGTATACATTGATACATGTGTAATAACCACAGGAGAGGAGAGAGAGGCAGAGATAAGTGATTGAGAGATGGAACAGAAAGGGGGGCGAGGGGAAGGAGGCGAGAGAGCGAGAGAGGCGGATACGAGGGAAGGAGGAGAAGAGGAAGGAGAAGGAGGGAGAGGGGAAGAGGGAGAGCGGGGAAGAGGGAAGGAGGGAAGGAGGAGAAGAGGGAGAGAAAGAAGAGAAGGAGAGAAAGATGAGAGGGATGAGAGAAAGAAGAGAGAGACGAGAGAGGCGAGAGAGAGAGAAATACGATGAGAGAGAGGAGAGGGGAGAGGAGAGAGAGAGAGAGAGAAGAGAGAGAGGAGAGAGAGGGAGAGAGAGAGGAGAGAGAGAGAAAGAGATGAAGAAAGAAAGAGAAAGAGCGAGAAAGAGAGAGAAAGAGAGAGAAAGAGAGAAATGAGAGAGAGGAGAGAGAGAGAGAGGAGAGAGATTGGAGAGAGAGAGAGAGAACGAGAGGAGAGAGAGATGGAGAGAGAAGAGAGAGAGAGAGAGAGACGAGAGGAGAGACCGAGGGAGAGAGAGAGGGAGGAGAGGGGGAGAGGAGAGGAGAGGAGAGGGAGAGGAGAGGATAGGAGAAGGAGGAGGGAGGAGGAAGAGAGAGGAGAGTGAGAGGGAGGAGAAGGAGAGAGAGAAGAGAGGAGAGAGAAATGAGACAGTAAGAGAGCAGTAAGTAGAGAAGGAGTCGCAAGAATATAGGGGGGGTGAAAAGTGAGGTGTGGGAGAGAGAAGAAAAAAAATGGGAGATAAAAGGAGAGTAGAGGAGAGGAGGGGACGAGAGGATAAGCAAAACCACACCAACAACACACACCAACACACACCAACACACACACACACACCACACACACCACCACACACACACACACCACCACACACAACACCACACACACACACCACGAACGCCACACACACGCACCACACACACACACACACCACACACACACACACACACACACACACACACACACACCACGACAACACACACCAGCAACACAGCACATCACACACACACACACTCACTCACCACAACACACCACACACACACACCACACACACACACACCACACACACACACACACACCACACACACACACACAACACACACACCACACACACACACACACACACACACACACACACAATCCCCCACCCCTACCACACACACTGTGATACATCCTTCTCAGTCAAAATTAAAAGTGGCCCTTAAAATAAAGGGGAACAAGACAACACCATAACGCAAAAAAGAAGAGCAACTGACCTCATTCATGTGTATGGCCACGCCGTCCACCAAATATTTGAGCTCATTGTCCACCTGGATAAATGCCCTGAATGAAAAAGAAAGAGAAAAAAAAAATTAAAATCTCCGTGTTGGATAAATGCTTGCAATGAAAAGAGAAAAAAAAATTAAAATCTTAAGAATATTGTGATTGGATAAATGGAATGAAAAGAGAGAAGAAAAAAAAAAATTTCATCTTGGATAAATGCTTGCAATGAAAAGAAAGAAAAAAAAAATGATCTTGATAATATGTTGCAACAAAAGAGAAGTAAAAAAGTATAACTACATATCTTCTTGGATAAATGTTGCAATTAAGAGAAGAAACAAAAAGAATTAATATCTCATCTTGGATAAATGCTGCAATGAAGAGAAGAAAGAAAAAACATTAAAAACTCGCCTTGGCAAGAAATTGTTTTGATTCGTAAAAAAGTAAGATCAAGTATATTTTACCTTATCATTTTTATTCTTTTATCACCAGAGGGCAAATTCAGTAGTGGGAATGATATGAAGAGAGGAAGGAAAAAGAGTGGGATGGGAGGCGATGGAGGGAGGGGAGGGAAGGGGAGGGAGGAGAAAGAAAAGAAAATGAAAGAGAGAGAGAGGAGCAGAGGAAGAGGGAGAAGGAGGGAGAGGAGAAGGGAAGGGAGAGGTGAGAGGGAGAGGGAGAGGGAGAGTAGAGGGGAGAGGGAGAGAAGAAGAGAGACGAGGATAGAGAGGAGAGAGAGAGAGAGAGAGAGAGAGAGGAGGAGAGAAGAGAGAGAAGGAGAGAGAGAAGAGCCCGAGAAGACGAGAGAGAGAGAGAGAGATGACAGGGGGGGGGCAGGCCCTGAGGACCGCCTGCCTTCCCCGCCCACTTCCGACTCACATCTGGAGGTGGGCAAGATGGAGTCCCCAGTGAGAACCCAGGCTGTGAGCGCCCCTTCCCCCTGCGTGGCCCTGCCCTCTCCCGGCTTCGAGAGGGCGTTGGCAGGCTGCTGGGGGCGCGAGGCTGACGAGAGACCCTGGTTCGGGCTGCCCTCGAAGGGGTCCTCGGTGCCCAGGAAGCGCGGCCCGAAGGAGGGAGCGACGCCGACGCCGCCGCAGACGCTGCAGCCGCACGGGCACGCCCCCCCTGCGCCGCCGGCAGCGCCCCAGCCGCCGCAGCCGCACGCGAGGGCCAGCACCACGAGGACGACCGCCGCCTGCCGCGCCATCGCCAGCCGGGACGAGAGGCGCAGCGCTCACTTCTGTCCTTTTTCCGCTTTCGTCTCGTCTCTTCGTGGGCCTTCCGCGGGGGACGTCCCGGGTGACTGTCTCTGGCGCCGCGGGCTCGGACTGGCTCGGTTGCATGCGGGTTCTTGCGTCTGGGTTGCGATCGCACGGGAATAGCTCGGCTGCCAAACGAAACTCGGCTGCGTTTTCCATTCAGACTTCACTTCCACCCCCCCCCACCACCACCCACCCATTCCACAAAATAATAAACACGGAAATAAACAAAGAGTCGCCAGAAAAACACTGAACTGTCCCTGAGAACGGCCTTCGCATCCGCTCTTCCTGGGCGAACTCCTCCACTTCACTGCCATTTTTTTCCGGCCAACAAAAACAGGATTTGGCATTGAACCTCCCCCCCCCCCCCAATAAAAAAAATGCCTCGGAATGAAATAATTTGGTGCTATTTAATCAGCCAGCGACCGGTCACATCACGGGGTCACACTGTTAGCTAATCGATACGACAGAATTGGGTTTATTCCCCTGTCGAACGCCGGAGGGAGACCTGCAGGTATGTCGGTGCGTGTTTGGGTTCGTGTAGGAGTGCGTGTTTAGGTGCGTGTGGTGTGTGTCAGTGCGAGGTGGCGTGTGTCAGCGTGTTGTGTGTGTGTGTGTGTGTGTGTGTGTTGTAACAGTGTGTGTGTGTGTGTGGTGTGTTGTGTGTGTGCGTGTGTGTGTGCGTGTGTGTGTGCGTGTGTGTGGTGCGTGTGCGTGTGGTGTGTGGTGTGTGTGTGTGTGTGTGTGTGTGTGTGTGTGTGTGTGTGTGTGTGTGTGTGTGTGTGTGTGTGTGTGTGCGTGTGTGTGTGTGTGTGAGTGCGTGCGTGTGTGTGTGTGAGTGCGTGCGTGCTGTGTGTGTGTGTGTGTGTGTGTGTGTGTGTGTGTGTGTGTGTGTGTGTGTGTGTGTGTGTGTGTGTGTGTGTGTGGTGTGTGTGTGTGTGTGTGTGTGTGATGTGCGTGGTGTGTGTGTGTGAGTGGTGCGTGTGTGTGTGTGTGTGTGTGTGTGTGTGTGTGTGTGTGTGTGTGTGTGTGTGTGTGTGTGTGTGTGTGTGTGTGTGTGTGAGTGTGGCGTTCGTTTAGCGTGCGTGTGTGAGTGCGTTGTGTGTGTGTGTGTGTGTGTGTGTGTGTGTGTGTGTGTGTGTGTGTGTGTGTGTGTGTGTGTGTGTGTGTGTGTGTGTGTGTGTGTGTTTAAGTGCGTGTGTGAGTATGGGGCTCGGGTGCGTGTGAACGATCACGGTTTTGTGTTAATTGGAGTAAAAGCAAACAAGCAAATGCACTCCCGTCCGAAAAAAAATATAAACGGCAAATACGTTGATAAAACACGGGAACATTTTTCTTCATAAATATCCCCAAATTCTATAGCATTTACTAGATCTACGTCGAGCAACAACACTGGGAACAATATAGGCAAAAATAAAGGTGCACGCACACGCAAACGCATATCCACAAATACCACAAACAAACACACGCACGCACTCAAACACACACACACGCACACACACATACAAAGAATACAGACACCACAGGCAGACAGACAGACAGACAGACACGTCCCTGCACCAGCCACAGGTATGCAAGGACGCCGCCGCAGCTACCTCGGTGATATGACAGGGATAACAAGGGCCTAATCCTGGTCTCCCTTCCCCTCTCCTTCGCCACTTCCTTCCCCTCTCTCCTATCCCTCCCTTCTATCCCCTCTCCACCATCTCCCTTCCTTCTCCTGTCCCTTAAGGGGGTCTTTTCTTCTCCTCCTTTCACCGCCTCCTTTTTTCCCTTCTCCCCCCCCCCATCACCCTTCCTTTCCCATCTCCATAGCCCTCCCCCTTCCCCTTTCCCTCACTACCCTCTATCCCCCTCCTCTACCACCTCCCTTTCCTTCCCCTCTCCCCTACCACAACCCAGCTTCTTTCTCATCTCCTTCAACCCCTTTCTTTCCCTTCCCCCAACTCCCTTCCTTTCCTTCTCCTTTACCACCTCCCCTTCCTTCCCCTCTCCCTATCCCCACCTAACTCCCTTCCTCTTCTCCCCTACAACTCCCAAAGAAAAAAAGAAAAAAAGAAAAGAAAAGAAAAGAAAAGAAAAAAGAAAGAAAAGAAAAAGACAAGAAGAGAAAGAAAAGAAAAGAAAAGAAGAAAAGAAAAGAAAGAAAAAAAAAAAAGAGAGAGAGATAGAGACAGCACTGTACTTAGAAACACTGGAAAAATCCAATACATTTACTTTATTTTAAAACTGTTTTTTTTCTCTCTCTCTCTCTTTATTTGCGCTAAACATTTCCTTCTTTTCAACTGCAGATGCAACTGAAACAGGTAATAAACAAGTGGCTAATGAGAGTTCCCAAGTAATTACAAAGTACAGGTCATGCAGGTCGGTGAATTACAGATACACTGCACTGGGGGAGGGAGGGAGAAGGAGGGTGCGAGAGAGAGAGGGAGAGGGAGGAGGGAGGGAGGGAGGGAGGGGAGTAGAGAGAGAGAGAGAGAGAGAGAGAGAGAGAGAGAGAGAGAGAGAGAGAGAGAGAGAGAGAGAGAGAGAGAGAGAGAGAGAAGAGAGAGAGAGAGAAACACAAACAAACAACCACCGCCCCCACACAAACACCCAATCGCCAGCACCCCCGACCCCCCCCCCCCCCTCTTCCTCGGAAACTTCTTAGGGCCCGACACGACGTCGCCGAGGAACGCTAGAGGCCCCCTCAAGCGCCGCTTCCGGGAGAGAGCTTTCCCTCGCCCCCCCCCTCTCCGCCTCTCGTAGGGTCCTCGGCGGCTGATGCAGAACAAGGTCGCGACGCCTGGCCAGTGCACGTCGCGTTGCTTTGCCGCGGGAGAGTGACACGTGCCAAAGAAGAGTGACAGTGCCAATGGAGCGTGACAAGTGCCAAAGAAGAGTGACAGTGCCAATGGACCGTGACAAGTGACAAGTCTCATGGGAGCGTGAGTGTCAAGGGAGCATGACAGTGCCAAGGGAGCATGACAGTGCCAAAGAAGCGTGACAGTGCCAAAAGGAGCGCAACAGTCTCATGGGAGCGTGTGTGTCAAGGAAGCGTGACAGTGCCAAGGAAGCGTGACAACTGGCACTAATGCGACTACTTGCAACGCAAACGCCTGACTCACGACGGCGTCGATATATACCAAGACGTCTTGCAAAGTTAATTTCCCCGGCGGTGAGATACGGCACTCCGAGCACACACACCAGACGACGGGGGGCGGGGGGGAGGGAAGGGAAGGGAGGGAGGGAGGGAGGGAGGGAGGGAGGGAGGGGGAGGGAGGGAGGGAGGAGGGGAGGGAGGGAGGGAGGGAGGGAGGGAGAGAGCAGGAGAGAGAGGAGAAGAGAGAGAGGAGAGAGAGAGAGAGAGAGAGAAGGAGAGAGAGAGAGAGAGAGAGAGAGAGAGAGAGAGAGAGAGAGAGAGAGAGAGAGGGAGAGAGAAAGTAGGAAGGGCAACGAAAGAAAAGAAAGAAAGAAAGCGAGAGACGATGAAAGGAAAGGGGAGGAAGAAAAGAAAGAAACGAAAAAAAACAAAAACACAAATAAAAAAACGCGACGCAAAGAGAGTCGAGCTAAAAGACATCAAAAATCTATAACGCACGAAATTGCACAAACGCTGTCGCATCTTCCGCATATCTTACTATCGCCATTTCCTTTTTAGAGACCATTAACACTGTGGCTTTTCTCCTTTGTCTGGACCAAGCGGAGTCTAAGCAACAGGGGCACTCAAAGGGCGGGGATGGCACGCGCACGCACTCGGCAAACGCAGGTGACACACTTTGCGCTATTCATCGCACTCTCTTTCTCTTTCCTTTCTCTCTCTTT